GCTGGCACCGGGCCTGGCGCTCGGCAGCCCCTCACGCGCCAGGCACTGAGGGCCCGTCTCGTCCCGCCCACCCCCTTGGCCACAGTTGGACTTGAGTTGTTCCCTCCTTGAGCCCCTGCGCAGAGTTGTCCCCAAGCCCATGTGGGTTCCTCGTGTCCTTTGCCCGTTGGTCTTGGGGCCCCGGCTGTGCTTCCCAGGCCTGCCCTGGCCTGAGCTGCCCCTGGTGCCTGACCCCATGGGGCTGGTGGCTCCAGTCGTCCCCAGGACCAGCCCGGGATAGAAATGGCATTTCCTCTTGGCCGGGCTGCAGCTGTTTTTGTTGTCTGTGTTCTGAGCTTCCTCTGGGATGGCAGGCGGGTAACCAGACTCCGCGGGACCCCTGCGTGCCCTCGGCGACACTCACCCCTCTTCCCCCTTTCTTTGATCCTCTTCCTGGCCTGCTCCTGCTTCTGCGTCCCAGGACAGAATGACTGAGAACATGAAGGAGTGCTTGGCCCAGACCAAGGCGGCTGTGGGGGACATGGTGACCGTGGTGAAGACAGAGGTCTGCTCGCCCCTCCGCGACCAGGAGTATGGCCAGCCCTGGTGAGGCCTGTGTGGGGACCCAGAGCGGGCAGGAGGGTGGCTGGACTGGGTGGGGACCCTGCCCACTTCCTTAACCTTGCTGGGGCAGCTTCTGGGGTCAGGGGTGAGCGCAGGCTCTAGAAGAGCTGGAGCAGTGGCCCAGGAACAGCAGGCCACCTGGGGCTTCTGTGCCCACCCGTGTCCCCTGGGCCTCCTGGCCGGGTCCCCAGCCTCTCCCTGTCGGACTCTCACTCTGACGGCTGCTTTGCTTTCTCTGCTGACCCTCGTCCTGGGCAGCTCTAGGAGACCCGAGCCTTCGGCCATGGAAGTCGAGCCCAAGAAACTGAAGGGGAAGCGAGACCTCATGGTGCCCAAGAGCTTCCAGCAAGTCGACTTCTGGTGTAAGTGGGGCTCGCGGCTCCGGCCTGCACCCCCCTCCCCCCACCCCCTCTCCTGGGCTGGGGACGTGCAGCAGGAGTACTAGTGAGGTCCACCTGTGCCCGGCACTGGGTGACCGTCCTGATGACCCAGGGGCCTGCGGCTGGGAGTCAATGCACTGTGCTCTCTGCTGCCTGCACTGTCCTTGGGTGGCCTCCTCTCAGCCCTCGGCCTTCTCCCTAGGAGTCCTATCTCCCCGCCACCACTGAGACCCTTCCTCTTCTTTCCATCCCTGCAGTCTGCGAGTCCTGCCAGGAGTACTTTGTGGACGAGTGCCCCAACCATGGTCCCCCCGTATTTGTGTCAGACACACCGGTGCCCGTGGGCATCCCGGACCGGGCTGCCCTCACCATCCCGCAGGGCATGGAGGTGGTCAAGGAAGCCAGCGGAGAGAGCGACGTGCGGTGCATTAGTGAGGTCATACCCAAGGGCCACATCTTTGGCCCCTATGAGGGGCAGATCTCCACTCAGGACAAATCGGCGGGCTTCTTCTCATGGCTGGTGAGTGTCCCCTGGGCTGTTCAGTGGGAGAGGTTGTCAACGGACATGGAAGGAAACCAGCAGGGGGCGCCATATGCTGGCCTGAGGGCTTTCCTGCATGTGCCATTGGACATGCGGATGAGGGATGCTGTCCCCATCCCCAACCCAGTGGCTGTGTTCCTCGCTTTCCAAGGGCCATCCTGAGAGAGCCCACCTGGCGGTCATAAGCAGAGCAGGAAGTCGTCGGCCAGAGCTGAGGGCAGTGTTCCTGCAAGTCCTCGCGGGCGTGCCTGTCAGGCCATTCGGTGGCATTTACAAAAGGCCCAGCCACCCCTCTTCCACAGGGACCTGGGGACTCGGGGGATGCAGAGCACGATGTTCATCTTAGAAGGCAGTCACGTGAGGGCAGGGCCAGTGCTGGAGGCGTGCGTGGAGTCAGTGTACTGTGTACGTGTGACCACTGTGACCTTAAGGGGAACGCAGGGCGCTCTGGGGACACAGAACAGAGGGCCATGCATGCTCATAGTCCCCAAGACCTTGGGGCCTGGAGCCCCAGTTCGTCATGTCAGCCAGCTTCGCTGTTTACCCTCCAGTGTGACCTTGGACGAGTCATGGACTTCTCTGAGCCCGTTTCAGTCTGAGGTTGATAACAGCTAGGCTGAAGAGGGACGGGTCGTGGTGCAGCGCCTTGGGTCACGCTGGCCCGATACCGGCTGCTGTTATTGTTGTTCTTGACCTAGATGCGGTAGGAACTGGAAGAACGCATGGAGGTCCGTCTTGGAGGGGGTGGGAAAGAGCTCCACGTGAGCAGCCTGAGCAGCGGCAGCGATGGCTGAGGCTCAGAGTGGCAGAAAGTCAGCAGGCAGGGCGGCCGGGCCAGTGTGCCTGAGCCAGTGTGCCCGAGCCAGGGGCGGCCTGCATCCCCGGCCAGGGCTCCACTGTGTGGCCAGGCAGAGAGGTGCCCTGGGCTGCGAACTCCAGGCTCCCGCTAGGAGACTGGGGCAGGGTTTCTGTAAAAACTAGGTGGCACCTTGAGCTTGGGTGCTAGAGATGGGCTTATTTGAAAGAGATTTGGGAGGGAGAGTCCCTGGGATTTGTTGGTGGGGAGATGTGAAAGGAGGAAGAGGAGTTTCCAAGACTGAGTCAAACCTGAGCCACTGAACAGCTACGGGAGAGCAGCTACGGGAGAGCAGCTATGGGAGAGCAGCTACGGGAGAGCAGCTACGGGACAGCAGCTACGGGAGAGCAGCTACGGGAGAAGGGCAGGCGGGGAGACAGCAAGCCGGCTCACCTTTTGAACGCTTCTCTTCTGAGCAACTTCTCTATGCCGGGCCTGGCTGGCCCTGTGAACACAGTGGTGGGCCAGGTCAGGCATAGCCTTGTTCTCATGGAGCTCACTGTGCAGGAGATGGAATTAATTGAAGAACAAGATAAATATGCATAAAATTCCAAATCTGATAGCTAATGGCGAGATAGTGAGGCCCAGAGAAAGTGAACAGCCTGGGGAATTAGCACGGCCGGAGATCAGAGAAGGCTTCCTGACACTGAGCTGTGACTGAAGGAAGAGAATGGCTTCCAGGTGAGGGCTGGAGAGGGGCATCAGATGGCTGGAGTGTCATGTGCAAAGGCCCCGGGGCAGGAGGAGAAGGCAGTATATTCAAGCAACTGGTTAGTGGTTCCTGGAGAGTGACAGACACAGAGACCTAGAGGAGGGAGGGATATTGACCAAGTGGGGCCCAGTGGACCACTTGCTTGCTCTTTAAAGACAGTGAGAAGCTTTCATTTTGTTTGAAGTTGGGGGTAGGAAGAGTGACCTGAGCACATTTATGTTTGAAAAGGCAACTGTGGCTGCAGCCTGGAGAACTGATTGGGTGCAGAGGGTGGAGCAGTGGTCAAGAATGAGGTCTCCCAGGGAGGCTGAGGCAGGAAGATTGCAAGTTCAAGGCCAGCCTCAGCAACTTGGCAAGTCCCTAACCAACTTAGCGAGACCCTGTTGCAAAGTAAATATCAAAAGGACTGGGACGTGGCTCGGGGCACCCTGGACCGGCTCCTCTCTGTGGGCGGAGATGTGAAGACAAGGGAAGGGAGTGGGAACTCTGTCCCCAGCCGAGCTCTGTGGGGAGCGGGAGAGTCAAGGGGGTCCCCCTCCAACAGGTCACTGCAGGTGCAAAATGAGGGTGCTGGAGGGGGAGGGGCTGGGAAGGTGGTGGTTCGGTTTTGGACTTGGGTTTGGAGTCTTGCCAAGATGTCCACCTGCTGAGGTCCAGTAGGCATATGGAGAGGAGGTTGGGGTGTCACCCGCGAGTCCCCTGTGCACAGGTGGTCTGTGGGGTGCGGGGCACGAGGGCAGCCCTGAGGGCCTGGCAGAGGTGGAGGGGCCTGGGACCCCACTCTGGGGAGCTGCACCTCGACGTTCTGGGGAGCTGGAGTCTGAGAAGACGGACTAAGAGTGGCCTGAGAGGGAGGAGGGGGCCAGGAGGGCAGGTGTCCCGGAAGTCCAGGGGGAAGCGAGGGGTCATGAGGACCACAGTGGCCAACGGCGTCGAATTCTGCTGGAAGCACAGTGAGAAGGGCCGAGAAGCGTCCTCTGGGTCTGCCAGGGCGGTCAGCGGTGCATTTAGCGAGAGCAGCGGGGACGTCCACCCGGGCACCCTCCTAGAAGGTGGGCCTCTGTGGCAAACAGTTGGCCGTGGGGACAGTCCCCTCCCCTCCAGTGGAGTTATCTGCAGGACCAGCAGGGGAGCTGTGGGTGGACCCTGGTTAGCGTGGAGGTGACCAGGATCATCTCTTCTCAGAAGCCTGGGGGAGAGCAGATCAGAACTGGGGGACAGAGATAGGAGGGCCAGGCTGGGGCCAGGGGGCGTGAGCTGGGGGAGGTGGCACGGCTGTCCCTCAGAAGCCAGCGGGAGCTCTGCATGAAGAGGGCGACGCAGGGGGAAGCCGCTCCCTGGGCTTTTACAGTGGACGTGCTGGACAGGGGAGGGGTGGGCCAGATCTCCCTGCCACTGGAGGGACAGCACAGAGGACGGGAGCAGGGGCGGGAGGGAGGTGGAGTAGGACAGATAATGACCCCACAGAGTCCACGCCTGGCCCCGGAACCTGTGAGACGTCAACTCATACGGTAAAGGGAGTTGGCAGGTGTGACTGAGTGACACCTTGACATGGGGTGTCTCCTGGCCTGTCGGGGGGTGGCAGTAGTATCACAAGGAGATCGGAGGCAGAGAGAGATTAGAAGATGGTCCCGCTGGCCTCGAAGGTGGCGGAGGGAGCCAGGGCCAGGGAGGCAGGGCCTGTAGAGGCTGGAGAAGGAACGGAGCCAGGCAGCTGCTCTCCTGGAGCCTCTCACCTTCTTTGAGACCCCCGGCCTCCAGAGCTGTGGGAGAATAATGTTGGGTTGCTTTCGGGCACTGTGTGTGGCATTTTGTGACAGTAACAGCAGAGATGGGGTACAGCAAACTCATGGGGGGGGCAGGCAGGAGCATAAGGAGGCTTTGACCTTTGTGACCTGAGAGGCAAGGGACACTGAAGGCCTGCAGAGAGCAGATGCTCAAATGACCCGAGAAGGCAGAGGCTGGGACCGTGCGAGTCTGTGTCACGTCTGTTGCTGGAGCCGGCGTCCAGGCCCCACTGCAGACCGCGGGCCTCAGGAGCAGCTCTGCCTGCTCGGGTGCTGGGCCGCGGAGGAAGGAGCCGGGGCTGAGCCGTGGCCTGACTGGGGCTGGGATCTGGGAACTGCACGTCCCACAGAAACTGCACTCACGGGTCACACCCTGTCCCCAGCCCTCCTTGCGTTATCTTGTCTTGCCCTTCTGCTTGGCTTCACAAGCCCTGGCGCCATGCACAGACCCATTCCTGTGGTGGGAGCAGGGACGGTGACCATGGGGAGCCTTGGTGCTGATGTGTACTGAGCACGTTCTACGCATCTGGGTCTGCCACCGTCACACGTGATCCTACGGGCTCCTGCAGCACCGATTACTCTATCCAATGCACGGGAGAGGGAACTGAGGCCTGGCGGCCGTGGGACATGGTGACCAGCTGGGGAGTAGCCGCGCTGGGCCCCGGGCCTCCCTGGGCTGTCTCTTGTCTTGCTCAGCCGCCTCTTCCCACCTGCTGCTCTTGTGGACTCTGCTTCTTCTTCCTGCACAGCACAAGGGCCTCCCTGGCTCCCTCCGCCTGTACGAGCTGGTCCCACTGTGCGCAGAGTGCCCAGGAGGGGCCTGGGCTCCCCTGGAGCCGCAGCCATTTTCACTCCGCCTGTCTCCTTGGTGGCCTGACCTGGGCCAGGAGTTCTGGGATCACTTCTGACCATTTAGGAAAGGAATCCTCCTTCCTGTGCTTCCTCGTCCCCCTGGAATTTAGAAACACCATAAGTCATCGCCAAGGTTGCCCGGGCCACCTCCCCCGCCAACACCGCAGGCCCAGGACAGGCTACAGGGTGAGGCGCTGGGGCTGCCACACAGCCAGGTGGTCTGCTAACGAGGCCGGGGACAGAGGAGGCAGCCGGCACGGGGCAGACGTCTGTAATCCCAGAGGCTCGGGAGGCTGAGGCAGGAGGATCAGAGGTTCAGAGCCAGCCTCAGCAATGACGGGGTGCTGAGCAACTCAGTGAGACCCCGTCTCTAAATAAAGTACAAAATAGGGCTGGGGATGGGGCTCGGTGGTCGGGTGCCCCTGGGTTCACTCCCACACCAAAATAAATAAATAAATAAATAAAAAGAAAGCAAGCAAGCAGCTCAGGTTCCTGTTGAACAGGTTCCCACCTGTTCCCGAAGAGATCTGCGCAGCCGGACAGGATGCGTACAGGACACGAGGACGGCAGATTTTAAGAGGGACGAAGACAGAAGGAAGGAAAAGGGGGAGACCCTGCACGGAGCCAGCACTGAGGCTGAAAGTGCCCACCCGATAGCCCTGCGTGTGTTCTGCTGGTGTCTGGGGTCCACATCGGGTGGCCACGGGCAAAGGGGCGTCCCCAGCGCGTCCTGTCCCTACACGAGAGGTGCCGGGGGCGGTCCGCCCTTCAG